GACAGGGCTGCCGCAGCATGCAAGAGTTGGAAAAGTGTTGCAGCTGAAAGGGTGCTTTCCCTGCAGTGGTTCAGGCTGTAAGATTGATGAATGACTAAAGAAACATTATCAGCTCGATGGTGTGAAACTGTGCATTTCTAGTGTATTACCACCCACTGCCACTTATACCAGCAACGGAAATAAGCACAGTTAGAATAGCCGAATATGTGGGCGTGCATTGCTATTACATGACTATATTGTATTGAAATAGGTAGCACTTTAATGTTCATGTTGAACCAAGACTAGTTAGCACATGATTTATAATTGCAATGGTTTAATCCATTGGTTTTTAATGTGTTAAGCACAGGGTTTTTTCCTCTTCTCTCTGTGTTTGAGGAGCCAGCCTGCGTGAGAGCACCTGTCCTGAAGTCTTCTGGGTTTAACCCTTTCTTCACTGCATTAATGTAGAGATGAGGCTGTGTGTGTGTGTGTGTGTGTGTGTGTGTGTGTGTGTTTGTGAGAGTGTGTGTGTGAGTGTGAGAGTGTGTTTGTGAGAGTGTGTGTGTGAGTGTGAGAGTGTGTTTGTGAGAGTGTGTGTGTGAGTGTGAGAGTGTGTTTGTGAGAGTGTGTGTGTGAGTGTGAGAGTGTGTTTGTGAGAGTGTGTGTGTGAGTGTGAGAGTGTGTTTGTGAGAGTGTGTGTGTGAGTGTGAGAGTGTGTTTGTGAGAGTGTGTGTGTGAGTGTGAGAGTGTGTGTGAGTGTGAGTGTGAGAGTGTGTGTGTGTGTGTGTGAGAGTGTGTGTGTGTGAGTGTGAGAGTGTGTGTGAGTGTGAGTGTGAGAGTGTGTGTGTGTGTGTGTGAGAGTGTGTGTGTGTGAGTGTGAGAGTGTGTGTGAGTGTGAGTGTGAGAGTGTGTGTGTGTGTGTAGTGATGTTTGGTTCAGTCTCTGTAAGGTTCTCGATCGTATGATTTAAGCTGGAATCGAGATATTGGAACAAAATGATCTGTAGAGCTAGAAAAGCTTTGATCTTCACACGACGCGCCGCGTTCAGGAAATGACGCTCCGCCTGCTTTGATCGCTGCTCGCGTTTGATCTCCGCCGCTCCTCTTCTGTCGCGAGCAGCAATGCTGCAGGATTCATTTGAAACTCACGAATTACTAGTAAATTTCACAAAGAATTACAAAGAAACGGCAAGTAACACGTGCACCGTGATAAACGTGTGATGCAAAACCCTAAACACAAGAAAGCAAAGGTTAAGCACAACTGCAACACAGCTGTCATCATTTACACACAATAATTCAAAACTGTTCACACTTGTTTCTAAATATGTGAATGTACAAAATATAAGCCAGTTCAAAGTGCATCCATCAATCTGAGAGGTTCGGAAGACAGCGTATACGAGGATGAGGAAGAGCAAGAACAGTCATTTCAGATTCATTTAGTGTGGAAGAACTGGCCTGTGGTGACAGAACCTGCTGTCTCGTCAAAGCTGGATCCGCCACACCTGAAGGGGTTTTTCAGTTGCCTGTCTGTCTGTGACCTAGATTAAGTCCTCTGATTGTCTGTCTGTCTGTGTGTGTGTGAGAGAGAGAGAGTGTGTGTGTGTGCGTGTGAGAGAGTGAGTGAGCGTGTCTCTCTGTGTGTGTGTGTGTCTCTCTCTGTGTGTGTGTGAGAGTGTGAGAGAGTCTGTGTCTGAGTGTAAGTGTGTCTGTGTGTCTCTGTGTGTGTGTGTGTGTGTGAGAGAGTGTAAGTGTGTGTGTCTGTGTGAGTGTAAGTGTGTCTGTGTGTCTCTCTGTGTGTGTGTGTGTGAGAGAGAGAGTGTAAGTGTGTGTGTGTCTCTGTGTGTGAGAGAGAGTGTAAGTGTGTGTGTCTGTGTGAGTGTAAGTGTGTGTGTGAGTGTGTCTGTGTGTAAGAGAGAGTGTGGTTTGGCAGTGGGTCAGTAATGGTCTGGGGAGGTATATCCGTGGATGATTGCACAGACCTCCACATGTTAGCCAATGGTTCCCTTACTGCTGTTAGGTACCGGGATGAAATCCTCAGAGCCGCTGTCAGACCTTACGCTGGTGCAGTGGGCCCTGGGTTCCTCCTGCTGCATGATAATGCCTAGCCTCAGTGCCGCAATTATCTTCTGACTCCCGCAACAGCAGCACCTTGCTCAAAAAAAAGAAAAAGAAAAGTCAGTTGTTGGAGATATGCAAGCAAAAAATCAGAGATTAAAAAAAGGATAATAGAAAATGCAAAGACGGCGCTGAAAAGGCCAGAGTAATATAAAAAGAAATGCGGCTATACAAAACAAGGTTGTCTGCAAACCAGCGTTCATGTTGATGCATCAAACTTTGTCTTGTAGCTCTTCAGCAGCAGCAGGCTCTAGTTCAGTTTGCTGCTAACAGTGAAGAGCCAGGCCCAGTAACGTTACCAAGCACCAGTCATGAGCTCAACACACCAGAATGGACAGGTAGGATTGTCATTGAGCGAATATAAGAGTTAGAAGAATTAATATTAATGAAGAGCATGGTGTAGACCTGCTCAATGAAAAATGCCCTGAGATCATTAATGATAGCAGATGAATCAGCAGTTGTAGTACAGTGTGTGAATAAGCAAACATGATCACATTAGTCTCAATATAACTTTCTATGCCCAAGTTTTCTTTTTTCATTTCAGGTTTTTTATATTTACAAACACTAAATCTTACAGAAAATAGATCCTGATACTGTGTTGTTGTAAAGAACACTGTTATTAACTGCTCTAATCTTCACCGAGAAGCAACACTTAGGCTACTGTATTTGCAGATTCATATACTGAGGTTTTAATTACATTACTTTAGTATAGTCAGTGAACTAAAGCGGGCCGGTCTAAGGCATGAAGCTCCAGGCTGAGAATGAGTCCCACTCCGGCCCTGATTGATTCTGACACAGTGGGACATATTTGCTTCTGATTGAGACCTGCATTTGGGGCCTTTGCATTCCCTACCCTTCCCAAACTATACCAATTGCTATTATTCTTGTAAAACAGTCTTTGTGGCGTGTACTCTACTATGTGCTTGTAAACAGTGGCGTGCAGACGAGGGCACATTTGCGGTCTGGTCCGGGGCGGGGGTCCCCCTAAAAATCCGGGGGCACTCATAACTGAAAGAGCACCAGTTTCAGTGATTAAAGGGGAATCCCCGATGAATTCCCCTCACACTCCTCCCACGAGTTCATCTAAAAGATTAACATAAAATTATGATGTTTTTTATGTAAAAATCTTGATAAGATTATAAGTGGACCTCAGAGAACAGCACAAAATACAAAACAAAGGCAGCTGATGACCGCTTCAAGCTCTGTTCATCTGAATGAGACAGTATAGCGCCCTCTGCTGCCTGAATAATGTAATAGATGAACACTAGTTACATTTGAAAAGGCTGCTATTATAAAAGTGATAAAGAACTAATAATTCGTGATAAATCGGTTAAAGAGGATGTTATGCGGTAAGTTGTTGTGTTTGTGTGAACACTGAATGTCACTAAAGTGTCAGTGAAGTGCTGTGTTCTCCCAAAAACGACTCCTGCAGAAGCTCAGGTCAGTTTCTGAAAGCTGGAGACAATCAGAACTTTCTCAAATCCTCGCGTGCTGTTCGGAGCTTAACTCTCACAACAATCAATGTTCATCTCTAATAAACGCAGTTCCGACGTACAGGACAACACACCTGAGCTGCATATGTAACGTTACACATCAGTATACACAGCACTTATTGTTTAACTGTTTAACATTCAACACTTACATTTCCATCGGACTTCTTAGATAACATTACACTACTTAATTACACAAAAACGTTCGTTCGTCATCATCATCTTCAAAATATAGACATTAGGAACTCATGTGCATAATCTTTTAACCATCACATCTCTTTTACCTTTAAACCATCAGAACTTATCGGTCCCGGCACGCGCCCGGTGCTCGTGATGGCCGGTACCGGACCGCGCCCGGTGGTGTACATTTTGAACATTTTCGAGTTGAGAAGCAACCATTAATGCATGATCTGCCGCAGCTCACCATCCCTGAACCCTCGGACTGCTCAGAACACCCCCCCCCACTCTTCATCAGTCCTCTCCTGTCACCCTCAGCTCACCCTCAGCTCACCTGCTGTCACCCTCAGCTCACCCTCAGCTCACCTGCTGTCACCCTCAGCCCACCCTCAGCTCACCCTCAGCTCACCTGCTGTCACCCTCAGCTCACCCTCAGCTCACCCTCAGCCCTCCCTCAGCTCTCCCTCAGCTCACCCTCAGCTCACCCTCAGCTCACCCTCAGCCCTCCCTCAGCTCACCCTCAGCTCACCCTCAGCTCTCCCTCAGCTCACCCTCAGCTCACCCTCAGCCCAACGTCAGTGGTGTGGTTTCGCTGCGGGTCTGCCAGTCTCCATCGGCGTCGTGGCTAGGGGATCCCTTGTCTCCACCTCCAGCCTCCGAGTCCCGGACTCCGCCTCTATCTTTATTGAAGTGAATTACGTATAAATCGCCTTCATGCATGAATGAATGATATTTTTGCAATTTTACACATAATAATCCACGATGATCACATTACACAAAACTGAAATTGCCCGTCAAAATAACACATTGTCAATATTTCTTGAGACCCCCCCAAACTTTCACAAATCACGTTTTCAGGGGAGCCCATGTCTTATTAAGGGGAGCCGAGCTGCCCCTATAGCTCCCCCGTAGTTCGCACCCTGAATATGGTTAAATAATGGCTTTTAAGGTTATAAGGTTCATTTATTTGTATGATTTGGCTATCTTCAGGTTGGGTTATGGCACTGCTTTGGTTCAGTTCTGGCTAAAATGATGTGGATCATTGTGACCCCCCACCCCCCAGTGAAGAACTGTAGCATGAACGTTTACTGGCTAATCATACCGACAGGAAGAGGTTTTTAGCTTCCTATCATCACTGACTCCACCCACCCACCCACACACACACGCGCGCACACACGCACGCACTCACACACACACGCGCACGCACGCACACGCACGCACACACGCGCGCGCACGCACGCACACACACACACACACTTCCTCATTCACACGTCTTGCTCTCATGGCAGCATCAAGGAAATATGCATACATGATGAAACCGACAGGTATCACATTTCTTTATAATGGTCTGTATGTAAAAAGAAATGTACATATCAGATGCACTAAAACATGAGTTTATTTTAATCATCAATGTCTTTAATAACTCTATGAGCTGCATCAGTGAGTTGTTTCACTTTCACTTTGTCACAGAACCGTATGAGAAGCTAATATGTGTAAAAGACTGTGTTTTATATTATTGCCGCCCCATGTACCAAAGTGATCATCTTCGAGTTTGACATTCGATAATATATGGATAATAAATCATGAGTGGTTAGTCTTGATTGGCAGCGCTGTAGAATCAGCTCACGATCCGAACAGAGTCATCAATAATGCGCGGGACTCGAGGAAGCGGCCAAAACCTGCGTTTCTCAAAAGCATTGTAAGCTTAAATAGATTAGTATCCCAGCAAACATTTGGACGTGTAATGACCGTTGAAAAGACGTCCCTCCGACACGTCCCGTCATGGTTGAAGAATATATCCAAAATGAAAATTGAACCGACGTCTTTGACGTCTTCTGTCCATGAATTACACGTGTTTTCTGCGTCCCTGGACGTCTACATGTGTCATCTTCTGGATGTTTATAAGATGTGTTGCTGCATAATTTCAGTATAAGCCTGCATATAAAATAATCACACACCCACTGTGCAACATCATGAAAGGCACATCTGAATTTGACCAATGTTCTGAAAAGGTCCAGCATCGGTCCAGTCAGACCTGAACGTCTATAAAACGTTTTAATCACGTGTAGCACAAACAATAACACATTTGTGGACTAAAGCAAAAAGAAGAGCCTTCTAATTTAGCACGTATTTTATTGTGACTACTACATTTAAAAAATATATATTCCATTTGTTAAACAGCTACTATTCAAACAAGAAAATAAAAATAGTAGAATGTGGTTAAGTCTGAGTCTATGGCATTTTCTCTAACATTTTTACATTAATGCTAAGCAGCCATTAATCAAACAAGTAAACAACAAAAATACTGGATAGTGGTTAACACATGTGTAAATGTTTTTAGAGTTTGTGAAAGTTGTTTATGGCTAATGTTTTATATCCACAAGCAGCACGTCCTGGAGCGTGCTTCAGCTGTTCTGGCACTGCTGCATCCATGTCTGTATCATTTGGGCTTCACCTCTTCACAGCTTCAGAGGAAAGAGAATATGAATATATTTGTATTTCCATCAGTAAGGTTCTTTTCTGTTCTGATATGTCTGACAATAAGGAGTGAGATGATGTCTTAAACTTTATATGTATGATGGGTAAATAACATATCCAAGAAACCTCCTGCAAAGCTCCTGAGAAACCGAGGGCAAAACCTGCTTTAAACACAAAGGATGCTCACACCAAATGTTGATTTCATTTAGGTAATAGAAGTTAATTGATAAAGAAAAGTTGACAGCATTTTTACACAAGTGCCTAATACTTTAAACAGTACTGTAGCTTTGCAGGTAGGTTTCTTGAAGCATCTTGGAGACGTTGTCTGTCTCAGTTTGTTCTGTTTCTTCAAGTCATTGCAGACAGACTGATGATGATCAGATCACATCTCACAGTCGCCTGGACATGATTCTGTGAAAGAAATGACTCAGGATTACTTCACCTCGCAATTTCCATGCAAGGTCAATATTACAATTAACAGTAATGTGCAGCGTGGCGATTGTATGCTATGTTAAAACATACACTTTTTATTGGCTAAGAAATCAAATAAACTGCTGGACAATGACCAATAATTTGTTTTCTAAGAATAATTATGTACTGTATTTACAGTAAGGAAAATATTGGCAAAACTTCACCTGTAGTAAGCCAGTCTGGCCACTAGAAATGTACTACAACATTTGGAACATAAAAAAACCCATTTGGTGAATTACAGTAATTGTTTTCGAAGATTAATTATGTACTGTATGTACAGTAAGGGTGATATTGGCAAACTTTTGCCTGTAGTATGTCAGTATGGCCACTAGGAATGAACTACAACCATTGGAACATAAATGCCTTTTGGTGATTTACAGTTATTTTTTCTAAGAATAATTATGTACTGTATGTACAGTAAGGGTGATATTGGCAAACTTTCACCTGTAGTAAGTCAGTCTGGCCACTAGG